CCCCCCCCGTTGTATTTTTTAGAGACCTTTTAAGCTTACGAAAGTTCGAATCACACTATATGGAAGGATGTTTTCGAATATTAGAAGATTTGCAAAAAACTTTTTAACTTGCGAAATGTCGTTAAGTTAGTAGCAATATTTGCTTCTGTCTGAGTCTTTTTTTCGTTTTAAATCATAATTTTCGGACTTTAGTGTGCTTCTAACTTAATTGGGCAATTTTATTTTCCACTGTTTTTTTGCGTGTTTTATAAATGAGAGTGACATTTCTTCCCATCATTCTTCAAACGTGCTTCTAACTGTCTTTATTCTTCTCCTGCTTAGTGATTTTACTCCTGTTCAAATCGCGGGTGTTCTCTCCTGCTTTGTTGCTGAAAAGGGTATCACAAAGGAGCCTCCAAAGCTTCTGCCAGACATGGAAGCCGCTCTCAATACTATTCGCGTAAGGCCTCTCAACTACTTAATTCTTAATTAGTCATTAATTGTTTTTAGTCCTTTTGACTTGAACGTTTGCTAGTAATTCAATTAATTATATTTCTCAACTTTGTACACAGGCCAAAGCACGACATTTGGCCAAGGTGGCAGAAGAATGTCGTGTTCGACCGGGACCGATGGCAACTTCGGTGGCTGGTACTCTGAAAGGCGATGGCAACATATTCGCAGAAGGTGGCCGAAGCGCTGTGGAGGAATATGCTGAAAAGTTCACCGGCGATTTCATGGAAGTTGTGCGCAATTGGGCCGATGGCGTTAACTTTGCTCAACTTCTCCTAATGTCTAAGATATTTGCTGGGAGTGTGATTCGTTGCTTACGTCGTCTTGATGAACTCCTTAAGCAGATGCATTCAGCTGCAAAGGTGGCTGGTAATGTTGATCTGGAAATTAAGTTCACAACTGGTAAGAATTTTAACCTTCTACTGAATTATATTTAAGTAGTATGTGGTTTTCATCTTGATTTTCATCTATCTTTTTAGCCAATACGCTTATTAAAAGAGACATTGTATTCGCTGGCAGCCTGTACCTATAAAGAAGCTTTCCCTAAATTCATTTTGTCAAGATGTGCATTATCATGAGGTGATGAGTAATTTTGTTTATATTGTGCAAAACATCTACATGTGAATTCTATCCTCTCGACTTCTGCGTATTTTGGAATAATTTGGTCATCAATTTGTTTGTTAATTATATATCGAACCTGAATTACAAAATGACATTTCTTTCAATATTTGCCTAATTTGTTCCTATTGTTGCCAGATTTGAAACTTCGTCAGTCATAGACCTTTTCCAGGCAATTTCATTTTATTCAGATGGATATATCAATGGGTTCCCTAGTGAAGTTAGTGTATGCCTTTTCAATAGCCAACTGTTTTGTTGGTGCGACAAATTCTGATTTTTCCAAACGTGTCCCATGCATTTGTAGCAAGAATGGTCTGGATAATAGTTTGTTGTGGGGAATATTTTATTGACAGCATAGAATACATAACCGTTAACATTTATTTATATCAAATGACAAGTGTTTTGATGAATATCATTAGCCCTTTAGTTGACTTCAGGCTTCACAGAGGGGAAGGAACATCAAAGTGAAATAAAGTCGAGGGGGGGGGGCAACAGAAGGGCGTTTCAAAGATATAAGAGAGGCAGACATATGTGATAGAATACAATCTCATCAGTCACATGAGAAATTATTCAGAGCCAGTTCCTCCTTAAACTGGCAACAATAATTCGTCATCCATACTAATCTTCCCTTAAAACGCAATTTACTGTAAAGCAGATCCATAGATATAATCGAGATCGCTTCAAAGAACGTCGTTCATGGCTTTTGATTTCAATACTGAACAAGGGGATGATGAACGGTGCCGTCTGAGCATGAATCTGTCACCAAGAAGCGAAAAGGGACGCACGGAAACCTGAAGTGACAACTCCTTCAAAACTTCCTCTACAGGAAACGAATGAACAATAACAGAATTCGCCAGGTTACTTCACTGTGCTTGGCTTCCAAATCAATTCCGGGCAATCGCATACTATCTCAACACGAGTGATAAAGATCGCAACCCTAAAACAGCCAAACTCTTAAAGGCGATCCAACACAAGCCCTATACGTCGTCTCAGACAACAAAATCCCAGGCAGTTGGTATTTTCCTAACGTCTAAATTACTTAATATCACTATGCTATCAAAATACAACCGGGAGCAGAAGATGCGAAAGATATCAAGGCAAATGCGACGTTCAGCCCTGAAATAAAGCAGCCGAACAATTTCCCCCTCCGTTTTCATTCGAATTTGTATGTTTCCTCCCCTCTCCCTCGTCGTGGCTTATTCAATACACTTTGACCTTCTCAACTTTGTGCTGTATTTTTCGTAACAGTTAATTGTTTTTGATAGCTATTAGTAACAGTCATGACCTCTTCTATTTATTTCTGTGTCCTTAACTTCTACGATTTAATAACGTTAATCTCAGTTTCTGTTAACCTTCCAAACTGGTGGCCCTGTGAAAATTCTTCCGTTTGCATAGCAATAGCTTCAACATTTTCCCATCTGAGTAAAGCACTTAAACAAAGAGCCGTATCAAGGTAATTTCAAGAAGTGAAGCCTTCGATAGATCAAAAAGCCTGTTCCTTCCTCTTCTAGGTCCAAACTGTGTTACTAATTGGGTGACTAGAGCTTAGTCCGATCTACCGATGAAAAACTATATAAATGCAACTGTTCGTGTTTGTCTCATGTTAAAGTAACTAACCACAAATATCAGATACTGCTGTTTTTTGTTAAATTCCAATTGTGGACAACTAGGTCTTCCTAATATCTTTTTAAAATTAACAAGCAAGTAATATCTATCAAAATCGGGCTTCGGCAGGATAACGTGAAGACTCCCTTTCTTGGCGTTTTTGCGCAAATAAATTACTACTTATTAATGCAAAGTAGAATATGCCTCATCATTTTAATAACACTACTCGTCTTAGAGGCCCGATATGAAAAGGAGGCGGTAAAAGTATCGATTATTGTCACCTTTACCAAAACAAAATCTCCCATCTGTGGTGGGAAACAAATGCAGGTGGTGGAACCAAGACAACGAGAGTATTCTAAAGTTGAATTGTAGATGCATGAAATGTTTACTATGTCATATACAACTTATTGGCATTTCGGAGTTCAAATTTCTGGGTCAGTTAATGCCCATGCTATTTTCAAAGTTCATTGACTTGTTAATTTGCTCGAATAACTCGCTTTCTTAAAAGGCAAATAGCACAAATGAATGATTGAACACCCAGTTAATGGCTTTCCGTATGTAATTAGTTGCCAATGTCAGTGGTGACCATTCTTATAACTAATTAAAATGCAGTAATTCTACAACTTTCGTGAGGTCAAGTTTGTGTATCTCAAACTAACCCACTTTTATCATTATTACCCATAGAGCGTCAAAAACTTCAATAAATTTTTATCATTTAAAGCCTAGTGGCCAGTTAATTTACTTCCTTAATTTTTTCATAAACTATTTCACCCATAACAAGCTGTTGAAACTAGTACGGATTAACTTTGAGACGACATTGCCTAGGAGAATTTATTCAAGTTAAACTGTAATGGCACTGTTTTCACCACCAGTGAAACAAACACCCTCCAAATTTATAATTGTGGGAAACGACTGAAGTTGGTCCAGAGAAACTTTAACAAGGAATAATGGAGAAGAGTTCAAAAAAGACTGCGAGCAACACTTCGGATTTTGTTGTAAAAATTTTCCGGATGAGTAAATCAAGTTTCGCACTTTAAATTTAATGATTTCTCCCTCGTATTGTGACAGTTACTTCTCTCCCATGTCCAGAGTTTATTCGGCACTTTTTTTCATGTTGTTCGGTCTTGTCACTGTCATTCATTTTTTCTTCTTGTGTTTGAGAAATTAAGTTGAACTTATAGTCTCAACAGAATCTTATAGAGTGCATACAATTACATGATAACGATGCTGATTTTTTATACCGTTCGTTAGATTCGTGAAACCGAAATGTGAAAAGTTTAATTGGCGAATATCTGACACTTTCGTGTTTGAAGTTCGAACATGGACTTTAACGCTTCGTTTGAGTAGTAATATTTAATTTATTAAAATAATGTAGTAAATATCCCTTAAATTATAATTTGAAGACGGGGTGTACGATAGACTTACCACCACGTCGTGCACCCTGGGCAATGTATATTCAAAAGGCAAAAAAATCTATTAACCGGCAGTCGACTTCTGGCTTCTAACTACCGTGACCCCACTGTATGTCATATTCAACTACTTACAGTACTCACCTCACCTTTTCTCTGCCTTTGTGTCTGTCTGACTTGCACATCCGTTAATCATTATTCTGTCCCTCATCTCTCTGTCTCCGTCACATCTGTGAATCATTATTCTGTCCCCCCTTTGTCTCTTTTACGTCTGTGAATCATTATTCTGTCCCTCATCTCGACTTTTTGCCACTTTGATGTTCCTCCTCCTCTCTGTGAATCCCGAAATCAGCCAAAGGGCTAATGGTAACTATAAAAACGCCTTCCATTTGATATAAATAAATCATTTGAAGACAACACGTTATTTGCTAAATTTCGAATTCCCTTACGACAAATATTCAAACTGCCTGAGATGCAACTAGCAATGAGATCACAACAGCTGGCCATTAAGGCTATTTATTGATTATTAATGCTGTGTTTCTCTAAGTCATTCACATACCATTTTGTAGCTTTCTTAATGGAAGTCGATTGGAGCGAACTCAATTTTAGACAAACAGAGTCGCGAGAGGACTGGCATGACGTACTTCCTCTCTCTCCCTCCCTTCCTTTGTCTAGGCCAGCGGCGCATTCGTGTAGTTTCTTGCTGAGAGAAAACTTTGCGTGACTGACAGTTAGGGAGGGAAATTGAATTTATGCGTTGTTTCTGTTAATTGGGTCATTAAATTGTGACTGATGTGTTAGTTTTAAACTCTTTTGTTCTATCGTCAAGCCAATTTGGCCAGTCGTTGGGGCGATAATCTGCAAAACAGCTATCAACAGTGTTTAAATCTCTTGTCATTAGAAATCGTTTTCAAGTAATATTTAATCTATTTTCTATTCGCTTGAAAGTTAATGAAGTTAGCGTTGATTTGACCAAGAAAAATTACAATTATTGTCCTTGATCTTGTGGGACACGACTCGTATGCACGCACATCAGGATTTGAGGTGTGCGGACGTACACGGAGAACACTGCTCAGAGACATTAAGCTATTAATGTTCACTCAAATTATGTTAACTTTATTTGCTAACTATTCAAATTTGCTTGCAATATACGTGTTCTGTGTAATACGTCTGTTTCCTCCCTAACTTCGCTATAGCTTAGCTAGTTCAGGGAGTCTCAACAGTTATGGGAGATACTGGCATAGAGATTTCGGAGTCAGTCAAGGCTTTACCAGTGTAGCAGTCCTCTTCAATTTACTAACAGAGCTTGCTTTTGTCTAAATTAAGGAACCATACTAAAGAGATGACTGTGGCATCACTTCACACTCGTGCACCATTTAAGCTCCGATTATTTAATAAGGATAATGAACTACTGAGATTCAATTTGCATGGCCACAACTTACGGTTTTCTGTTAGCTTGGAACTCAACTCCACCAGCTCTGCAATGTTAAGGCTGATAAGTGCTCAATAACCCGCAAACACAACCATTGGAATAAAAGAAATGAGCACTAGATATGGTAGAAAAACACACCATAATCCAGTGGGGGGGAGGGGAAGTGTTTGAGTTTAAATTGAGAAAGTTGGTCTATCCAACCAGAAAGCTTTGTTTAACCAAAATTCGAAAATATAATGAAGCAAGATTTTTTGTTACCTTAGCGTTGTCTTCAGCATCTTTGGATTCATTCTCCGTTATAAATTATTGAAGTTTTTTTAACGAATTCCTGTTTTATCCCACAATTATGAATTTGGAGTGTTTTTGTTTTACTGTATTGTATAATAATAGAAATAATTGGCGTATGCTTGTTCAAAGTTATCATAAAGACTGTTCAAGTATTTTTTTATTATCTTTTCAAGATTTTTA